TTTTTTTTTTTTTTTAATACCACTGATAAAGAAATTAAAATTAAAAAAAAAATTTAAGTGTAGGTGAAAGAAGAAAGCAAAACAAGTGTAAAGGTATAAAGTGGAATGAGACTAAAAATCAATAAATACTATGATGACCTATGCTTTCTACACAAATTTGGAAAACAAGATCAGTACCATAATATGTACAAATATTCTTGGCAATGGGACCAAGGAGGAGTTTTTCCAGGTCCTTCTCACTGAGGAAGTTCGGCATGGTATCTCCCAGGCTTACTTAGTGAGTATCCGGCTTACCTGCATCCACATGCCATTACTAAATTCAGTTTAGAAAAAAACAAATGAAAGCAAAGTCTAAGGAATCAAAAAAGAGCTTTCAAAATGTGAGTAAACAAAAGCCCTATGGCCAACCTCTTGTAAAAAGACATAGCTACCTTAGTCTACTTAACAATATTTTGTTCTTCTATAAATACAACTTAAGGTCAAATAAGAACACAAACTTTAAGTATCTTCTTTAAAAAAAAAAAAAATTAGAACAGCAGGTAAAACCGGTTTAGACGACCATGTCCCAACTCCTCAATACCTTCTGCTTCCCACCCTGGTTAGCTCTGTACCTGAATCTGTCCGTGGCTGGGGTGGTTTCCATGTTAAATTCGGCCACTGGCACTCCCCTGGCGGACACCTGGGGGGCAAACATGGCGGCAGGATAAACCACAGAGGAAGTGCCCACCTACAAAGCAAACAAATGGAAATGGACAAATGACCACATTATTGGAAAAATAAATTTTTTTTTTTTTTTTCCGGAAAACCTTACCTAAACGCAGGCAGCTTTGTGGCTGCAGGTGTGAGGGAAGATAAGCCGGGTGGGGCAAATGGAGAGTGTCCCAGAGACAATGGAAAGTTAGGAGGCATTCTTCTGACTAATCCTAGAACTGGGGAAGAACTCGTGACAGAAAAGGGGAGCTATGCAAATGGAGCCAGAGGCCAAGAAAGACTCAACGAGCATGTCTGGAGGTTCGTTTTGCTTCTGTTTCTGTTTTTTAAAGTATAACCCATGCTCTTTTTTTTAAGTTAGAAAATACAAAGGAAAAACATATACGTATCGTCTATAATCCTGTTGTTGTTATTAGGTGCCTTCGAGTCGATTTTGCCCATAGTGACCCCACGTGACAGGGTAGAACTGTCCCACAGGGTTTTCTAGGCTGTAATCTTTATGGGAACAGATCACCTGGTCTTTCTCCCATGGAGCCACTGGGTGGGTGGAAACAGCCAACCTTTCGGTTAGCAGCTGAGTGCTTAACCATTGCGCTACCAGGGCCGTTTTCTATTCTCCTACTACTCCAAGATAACCACTGTTAACGTTTTGATGTATGTATCTTTTCTGTTTTTTTTAAATTTTTTTCCATGAATGTATGTTTATAAGCATTTTCTACAAGAATGAGAAGACCAAAACATGCTTTGCAAACCAGGTCTACTCACTTAACAATTTATCTTCAGCATTGACACTATACTCAACTCAGCGTTGGCGTGCCCTCAACAAACACTGGCTGAATGAATACGTGCCCACAAGCAAGTACTTCTGTCTTTAAGGATCAGTTCAGGAAATTCTGAAACGTGCATACCTTTGTCCAATTAATTCTATTTCTAGGAAATTTATGCTAAGGAAATAATTGGAAAACTGTCCTAAGATGTGTATCTAAAGATGTTCACCACAGCCACTGTTTAAAATATCAAAATTTGAAGGTACCTAAATGTCCAAAGACAGACAATTGGTTAAATATATCATTTTATATACAAACAAGACAGCCATTGAAAGGATGATGCAGATTTAGAAGTATTGACAAGGAAGATGTTAAATGAATTGCTATGCGAATAAACCAGTTTCAAAAGAGAACACAGAGTATGAGCCCACTTTTGAATTTTAATCAATATGTGTAGATCTGCATAAGAAAAGGTCTAGCGCAGGGGTGGCTGAACTTTTCCTACAAAGGGCCAGATAGTAAATATTTTAGACGTTCAGACTATCACACAACTCAGCTCTACCACTACTGTCTGACAATATGTAAACAAATGGGTGTGACTGTGTTCCAATAAAACTTTATTTACAAAAACAGGTGGCAGGCCGGATCTGGTCCTCAGGCCCTAGTTTGCTCACCTCTGGTCTAGAAGAAAACATACCAAAATGCCAATAGTGACTATTTCTGGATGGTGGAATACTGGGTGAGTTCTCATTTCTTCTTTATAATTTTTTGTATCTTCTCAATTTTTAGAGTAAGTATGTATTATTTTAAAAATCAGAACCAATAACACGCTCTTTTCACTTTGGAGGGCCAAAAGCCTTTGAGAAGCCCAAGAAAAAAGTACCTGGTCTTGTGTAGTTCATATTTTAAGATCAATTCTTATTCATTATTTCTTAGTTTTTCTATAAGACATCATAAAATCTCTCAACATACATCTTGAAAAGAAAGAAGGAAGAAGGGAGGGAGGGAGGGAAGGGATACAGGGGGGAGGAAGAGAGGGAGGAGAGGGAGGGGAGGGAGGGGAGGGGGGAAAGGAGGGAGGAGGGGGAGGAAGGGGAAGGAGGAAGGAAAAAGGGAGGGAAGGAACAATGAACTCCACCCCAATCCTTCTGGTTTCAGAAATTCCCGAGGGTTAGGACAGTGTGACCTACCACTAGACATAAGTCACAGAGGGCGAGCTCTCGGTCCACCTCCTCCAGAACAGCTGGATCCAGATTTTCTCCAAACCACACTACATGTGGCCGCAGCAGGCCCCCGCAGCCTGCCTCCTCACACCTGTAAGGAGGTCATCATGAACCCGACACCAAGCCCTGCCCTAGCGGAAGGTCTGCCAGGTGGACCGGAAGACAGCCAGGAACAGCCCCAAGTCCCGTCTGTCCAGAGAGACCACCTCCAAGCCTGCCGTCCCCTATCCCTTCCCTGCCAGCCCCCATGACCTTGCCCTGGATATGAAGTACGAATTTTAATTATCCTTATGAAGCTTTTCTTTCATCTGTGTGCTCTGACTGGTTCACAAACGTGTTTCAGCTAAGCTGGACGTTCCTGTTCTGACGCGCTTTTTCCCAGCTCCTTCACTGCATTCTCTGGCACAACTGTGCTCAGGGTTGCCTGACCTGGGAGCAATGCTGTACTTGGACTTGCCGCCAACACCCCAACCATCCCCTAGTTACATGAATGGCCTCCTTCACATGCTCTTAGATGCACCTCTCCTTGCCCAGTCCACGGCCAAGCTCTCAAGTGTTGATTACTCACAATCTTCTCTCATCTTTCCCTCTCTCCTAGCTCTAGGCTGTCTGAGATACACCTTCGAAGATAATCTCCCCTAAACGTTACTTTCTTCACATTAATCTCCTACTCAGGAACCTCCCAGGACCCCCTGTTCTTTCAGGCTGAAATTTGAGAACTTAGTAATGAAAATCCTTGTTAAGAAAAAAAGAAAAACGAGGGGTGGGGGTGGGCCTATGCTTAAATAAGCCAGTGAAGTGATAACATATTACAGCCCCTTCTGGGAGAGTCACAATGGACTTTAGTATATTAAATGCTCTGAGAAGTCCTGCATTAAAGTGATCATATATAACTTGGTTTAATCTAGTGTTTCCAAATTTATTTGAATGTGTAATTTTTTTTCCCCAAGTAATAGCTATCAACATCACATGAAACTAGTGCTCCATGGAACACTTTTGAAGCACCATTTTAATGTTTGATTTTGAAAAATTGCCAAAAAAATGTCTAAAGGTTGTTTTATATATATACGCACACACGTACCCAAAATCCTGTTTGGTCCTGTAATTTCACTCTGCAAGGCCTTTTACTGCCTCCATAACCCTGGGTTAATGACGCTGATGAGGATGAGGATGATAGCGACTGTAGCTAACACGGAGGGGTTACAGGATGCCAGCCTTGATGTTATATACATGCTGGGTAAGCATCCGTAGCATAACAACTTCAGAACTTTCCAGACCTCAGAGTATCCCTACATCCACAAAGCAAAAACGGGCTGAAAAGAAGCAGCTCTCATATCCCACTGGTCTAGCTGATCCTCCAAGCCTTGGACTCATAGCTTTTTGCATTTAAGAGGCATCTCACCAAATAAACTTTTAGATTTTGACTCCTAATTCTCCTTTTCTGCAATTTGAAACAGCAAATAAGATCAAAGCTTTTTACCCACCGGGGAAGTTTCTCAACTGGGATTCTAGCATCTTCAGTTCCAGGTTCCGCAGCACTGAGGTAAATGTTAGGAAAAAAACAACGCCATTGGTACAAGCAAAGAACAAAGAAATAAAATAACCCAACAAATCTTCATTATCTGTCTGGCAGTATATGGTTCAAGACTTCTGATTAATAAGTGCTGACTTAGAAGGGGAGCCCTGGCGGCACAGTGGTTACAGTGCTTGGCTGCCACCTGGAAGATCGGCAGTTCAAATCTACCAGTCACTTTGTGGGAGAAAGATGTGGCAGCCTGCTCCGATAAAGATCACAGCCTTGGAAACCCTATGTGGCAGTTCTACTCTGTCCTACAGGGCCACTATGAGTCAGAATCAACTTGATGGCAACACGTACGTTGTTTGTAACTCTGAAGGGTCCTAGAAGAATGGACACCAAACACTCACTCACCAGTCAAGGGAGGAAATCTGTACGTGGGGAAGGGGTGGAGAGTGGTAGCATGTGCTCAGGGGGAATTTCACATTCTGCCTTGTATCAAACCAAAACCCATTGCTGTCAAGTCAATTCTGACTGATAGTAACCCTACAGACAGAGTAAAACTGCCCCAGAAGGTTTTCAAGGCTGTAAATCTTTATGGAAGCTGACTGCCACATCTTTCTCTCTCAGAGTGGCTGGTGGGTTCGAACCACCAACCTTTTGGTTAGCAGCTGAACACTTAACCACTGTACCACCAGGGCTCCTTGTATACTTCATTATAATTTGAAACTTTTGCAATGAGATAGCATCAACACATTACCTGTGTAATTTTATATTGTTTAAAAATTGCTGAGTAAAATACTGTCGATATTCTGAGTCTACTCTTAAATTTTTCCTTAATTATAACAGTAACATATGTCCATCAGAGAAATGTTATAAAATTCATAAAGGTATAAAGAAATAAAAATTATCCATGGTCAATGTAACTAACGTCACTGAATTGTACGCTTTAAAATGGCATTTTTTTCTGCTACATATATATATATATATATATTTTTTTTTAACCGCAATACATTTTTTTTTTAAAGGTTAAAAAAAAAAACAATTATCCATAATCCCTGCTACTGATAACCTGTGTTAACATTTTGTTGCCTTTTCTTCTGGTCATTTATCTACATACACACATATAACCGTGGTGTGTGTGTGTTTAGATACAGAGATTATGTTGTGTATATTTGGTATCCTGTGGTTTTAGTTTAACATTATAAATAGTGAGCAGAATGCTTCTTTTATCACTTGGCTGTGCTGTATCTAGTCTTATTTCTCATAAATATTCATGGGAGTCTTAGATTAACTTTTAATTTTCTCATTTTTAGGTTCAACTTCAAAGAGAAAACAACATATACTCATTGTGCCATGCAGTATAATTACCCTTTTCCTGATAAAGCTGGACAAATTGGACTCTTGTAATTCTCGGCCACATTTCCACAAGCAGTGCACTGAGTTTTAAATAAGCTACCTGAAAAACACAAGTTAGGCAAGTCTACAACTTAGCATAGTCAAGAGTGACCGTCTCCCTGTCTAAAAGGGTACAAAACAGTATTTATACGTTCGTTTTAGCAAATATGCCTACCCTAGGAATCCTGGGCAATACAAAGGCATGAGGGCCTACTGAACACCAAGCGCAATACGTCCCCAAGTTTACAGTCTAGAGAGGAGAGAGGTGGATGGTAACTGACCACATGGCTCACGTGCTGCCCAACGACCTTGGAGTGACTCTCAGGCGGAAGTGAAGTGGGCACCAGGGTCGAGGAAGCCCAACCCAAAGCTCAGGGCGTGATTTACTAAGTGATTGATAAAGGTTCAGTAGCTTAGGCTGTGTTTACAAAATTTTGATTTAAGAATGCCTGAGTCTTCCACATAAAAGCAGCTCGATACATAAATAATTGCCTAATAAACAAAGAAAATAATTGCTAATACAAGTACACTGCATTAGCAATTAACTGTTAACACAATTCGGCGACCATTTGTAGCGGCCATTTATTGAGCAGTAACAGTGGCTACATTTATAACTCTGTGCCACGTATGCAGTCCTGTACTGCGCACTCTCCCCAGCACACACCGGTAGCTGTTGAGTCTATTTCAACTCATGACGACCCCTAATGTCTCAGAGTAGAACTATGCTTCGTAACGTTTTTAATGACTGATTTTTCGGAAGTAGATTGCCAGGACTTTGGTCCGAGGCTCCTCTGCATGAACTTGAACCTCCAACCTTTTGGTTAGCAGCTTAGTGCATTAACTGTACCACCAGGGACTCCTTACGCATCATTAAAAAACAAACCTGTTGTCATCGAGTCAATTGTGACTCATAGCGACCCTACAGAACAGAGTAGAACCGCCCCCATAGGGTTTCCAAGGAGCGGCTGGTGGATTCGAACTGCTGACCTTTTGGTTGGCAGCCGTAGCTCTTAACCACTGCGCTACCAGGGCTCCTTACACATCACAGCGGACATATGTTGCTTCTTTCTGTCCAGCATGCCTTCTTTGGGGAACCATCTCTCCTCCACCCCAGGCTGAGCTAATGGAGCTGTTAGTCCAGCCCAAAACACAAGGATGGACACGTGTTTCGCTCCATCGCAGTGCCCCATCCCTCTGGCAGTAGTGTTTGGTTAAAGGGTAGGCGTGTGACCCGAGCAAAGCCACCCAGAGGTTCATTTTCTGGGTGAAGTTAAACAAGAGTGAGCCTGGAGTTGCCAGAAGCTCCCTTCCCTGCGCCGGGAGGAAGATCGGCTACAGGGGCAGAAGTGATGCCAACACAGAGAGAAAGGCAAAGCTGAGAGACGGAGGAGGCGGGCGAGAACAAGAGGCAGGAGCTAACTGCATCAGCGCCACCTATGCTATTGGTGTCGTATGGGCATTTTTGTCCATTTTAACATCTCTGAAATTGGGATGTCTCTTACAATTGCTACTGGCTGGATGACAGATGTGACCTGGTTGTCAATGTGCCTGCACAAACTTGTTGAAGGAGACCAAGGATTACTGAAGTATGGTGACTTGATGGCTATCCTCAGTGGCCTGCCTGGACAAATGCAACCCCTGGATATTTCAGCTGGCCAACCGTTTAAGGACCACCGAAGAAGGAAAATGAGTCCTGGCCGTTGTCTAAAAACCTTCCATTCCCATCGACACCTTCTGGTAAGGTCACGAAAGGCCCAATAACAAAACCTACAGAATGTGGGTCAGCAGCTTGGAAGAAAATCCCAGTGACAACAAAGGAGCATTCTCTAGAAAATGTTGCATCATCAATCCCTGTGGTGGCCCAGAGCATCATGCTCCATCAAAAACACAGACACCGATGCCAAAGTCATTCAGCAGTAGTTCAGAGGAGCCCGATAATGAGAAATAACCAATTTATTTCCCTTATGCTTCCTGTTTTATGTATCCACAAGAATGATATAATTTCTAACAGTCTGTCTAAATAAGGTTTTAAAAGTCTTTTCTGTAAGTGTAAAATAACAATTCTAATGGATAAGAAAATACATCATGGTTTCATTAGAAGATTATTTTCTCTCTAAGTGGTCCATTTAAAAAACGGTGCCTCTTACAACAAATGCCATCTTCAGTTCAATGAAATAAGGAGGCTCCTTTGGTTTTTACTTAAGTTAGAAGAGAGATCTCATCACTTGCAACCAAAAATGTCCCAACTAACATGCATATATTACTTACTTAATCGTTACAACATCTCTGTAAGCTAGGTATCAATATCTCTGTTTCACACATTTTAAACATGACAAACGGCACGGCCTATATTCTGACATTCCAGAGGCATGAGAAGAGCCTCATGGGAAGTGGCCCAGACCCAGCTGAAGTGGGTGCCAAGAAGACACCTGATCAATAGTGGGTGACTGCAGGAGTTCCGGCAAAATGGCGCTCTAGGCAGAAGCACCACACTGTCCCTCCACAGCAAAGATCCGAAAAACTAAGCCGAAAGGAGAATACAACAATCCTGAAATCCTAAAACATCAAATGAAGAGATAAAGAACTCAGCCAAGCACCAAATGGAGTGAGAAAACTGACAAAGAACGGAGAGCGAGGAGAGATTCATGCAGAGGTCCCCCACCAGCTAAAGCAGCGTGGATCCGCCATCTTGGACTCCTATTGAAGACCAGCAAACGGGGTACGAGAAAGCAGCCTCATGGAGAGTCCAGCGGGAGACAAAACAACCGGTAATTTGCGATATACACTTTCCCACCCACCACCCTTCTTCACCCCAACTCGGCCTCCTCTGCTTCCCGCGGCCACAATCTCTTGACCGGGAAACGGCAGCTGCTTGGATTCCACACACCCGAATGGGTGGCTCTCTGAGTGCCATTTGTTGGTTGCTGGTATTGTTTTTTTTCCGCTTCTTTTTATTTCTTCCTTGCCTCTCCCCACCTCCCCCTCCTTTCGCTCAAGTACCTCGCTCCGTGCGCCATCTTTGCTTCTTCCTGAGGGGCTGCAGAGCTCCAGTAATTTATGATATACGCTTTCCCACTCTCTACCCTTCTTCACCCACATTCAGCCCCTCTGCTTCCCACGGACACAGTCTCCTGTCCAGAAACACCAGCTGGCACTAGCTGGCTCCCTGAGTGTCATTTGTTGGCTGCTAGTGTTGCTTTTTTTTTCTGCTTCTTTTGATTTCTTACTTGCCTCTTGCCACCTCCCCCTCCCTTCACTCAAGTACCTGGCTCCATGCGCCATCTTTGCTTCTTCCTGAGGGGCTATGGAGCACCGTTCGAGTGTGGAGCTGCTTCCCGGTTTGGGCTGCCACGCTGGTGGGATCCCGGGGCTTTTGTTCGTTTGTTTGTTTTAAACTGTTTGTTTGTTTTCTTTTCCTTTTCTTGAGTTGGGAGCCCTTTCTGGCCAGGCTGAGCTTCATGGCAGGGAGACTCCCCTTCGGCTTCCACAGACGTGCAGAGGGATCCCTGAGGGCATTTCTTTTTACATTGGTTTTTTTTTTTTCTTCTTCTTTTTTTCAGTATCTTTGGGGGCCTTTCGTTTTTTTTTTAATTTGTTTTGTTTTCTTTTTCCTCTTTTTCCTTTTTTGTCTTTCTTCATTGTCTCAGTTTCTTGTCTCTCTATATCTTCCTTCTCTTTCTATTCCCTGAACACCTGGCGTGACCTCTACGACTTCTAGCAAGGCTGTATTGCAACACCGGAGAGCAACTTCCCCAGACCTCAAAGCTGTACCGGTGGGATCCCTTGGAACGTTGTGGTTCTTTAACCTTTCTGATTCTTATTTATTCATTCTTTTCTTTTCTTCCTCCTCCCCTTTCTGTTTTTCTCCATTTCACAGTCTCTCATCTCTCCACTCCAACGGCAAGCTTCCCTAGCATTCTTTTTTCTTTGTTTGTATGTTTTTGGCTCCTGTTCCTCTCTCCTCTCTCCCATATTCATCTTAGCTCCACACATAACAATCTCCCTGCTACATCCTGCCTACCTGCACCGTGCGCTTGACATCACACCACCAAGCAGCAAAGGCACGGCCTACTGGAACCTGCCCTGCACTGATTACCAACCCGTTCTGGTGGCTGTAGTAAGTGCCACAAACAAACCATCCCAGTAACTCCTCTTCAGCTAGACCTGCCCTGCCGTACCATATCTGAGTGACTGACCCTGCCAATTGAAGAAGGAGGCGAAAAGTATTGTGCCCACAGATGAGCAAACATCAAAGAACACACAGTCTGCCTGCTCAGACATAGTCAAATTATTTTTTTAAAAAAAGGGACGAAACAAACAAATCTACAATCAATAAACGAGAAAAATAACTACTGAATTCCCCGAAGACAGCAGACAAGAACAAAACATTCACAAAAACAGGACAGGATGGTTCCACTAGGCGTCCAAAATAAAACACCAGATGACTCTCCTCTGGAAGAAAATGCACTAGAACTATCTTATAGGGAATTCAAATCTCTGATACTCAGAATTCTCCAAGAACTGAGGCAAAAAGCTGACAACCATGAGGAAAAAATAGACAAGTTCATGGAAAATACAGACAAAAAATTGGAAGAATTCAGGAAAATAATGTAGGAACAAAATGCCAAAATAAATTCACAACTAGAAA